CTAGGTCATTGTTTCAGCATGGGACAGAGCAGATTTCCACATCACTTGTGCAATTACATGGAGTGCTAACCTTTCAATTCCAGTCACCAGGAGTTATGGTGTGCCCAATGAGCCTGGTCAACCTGAACTCTACCATAACTGGCATCAGCAAACAGATCCTTTGTCTCTCTACCAGCAAACATTGTGACCACTTTGATGAAAACAAGCAAGAGATTACAGGTCCAAGCTGAACATTGACGCAAAGCTTTCATTGGCTGGAAAGTTCACCACAGCTCAAGAGAAAAGCAGCATTTCTACTGGTGGTTGGAGGCTGTAGTACAGTACAGAACCCGTGATAAGAAGAACAAATGATGGGAAGAAAGAGTACAGGATATCCAACAACTCATGGACACAAATGACATGCAGTTTCTTCAGATCTTTGACCCAAGTGCACAGAGTACACCATGATGACAGCCAAACATGGAGGGGAGCTCATCAAAAATGGGGAGGTGGTCAGTGCCTGTTGGACAGTACATCTTAAAGAACTCCTGAATCAAGATTCCAATGCCCTCAACTCCATTCCTCAAAGGCCTGAAGAGCTTGGTCTCATTGCCATCCTGGTCTTGAGTGAAGTTGAAAAAGCCAGCTAAAAACAAAGTCGTCCCTGATTCAGAAGGAATGCAAGATGAAATTCTGAAATGCAGTGGAATTACATTCCTAACATGACTGGACAATCTCTTATCCTTCATCTGGAAAGTTGATCATAGGCTAGGAGACTTCGAGAATGCAAAGTTCATGACTACATTCAAGAAGGGAGACAAATCCAATTGTGGTAACTACTGAGGACTTGCTCTGTTATTTAACATAGAGTAGACTTCCTCCCAGTTTTGCAGTGTGGTTTTCACTTAAGAGGTACCATAGACATGATCTCAATGCACAGCAAACTCAATACAATTGTAAAGAACAGCATCAAGCGCAGTGCATGGTGTTTTATGTCAACTGCAAAGGCTATTGGAGCATCCTCCTCAAATCTGACCAGCCCTCAGAAACTTGTCACCATCCTCACCTACTCCATGCTGACAAAGAGGGGATGGGATTGTCCAACCTATGCCTCCTTCAAGCCAAAACCACGCCAAGCTCAGTTATAGACCTTTGGTATAAATATGATGCTAGAGCTTACACTCACTCACACAAAACTCAGTTCCATTACTGACTGCTTCTCCAAAGCATCTGGGAAAATCAGCCTTACCTTAAATACCTGGAAAACTAACATTCTCTTTCAACCCATTCCTGCAGCAAAACACTCCCCTCCATCAGTTATGCTCAATGGCTGAATCCTGAAAAACATGGAGTATCTTCTGCATCTTGAGAGCCCCCTATTGATGGATGACAAAATTAATTAATGCCTCCCATGCATCAGCTTAGCCTTCAGGCAACTGAGACAAGAGTATCTGAGATAAAGATCTGAAACCCGAGACTAAAGTAATTTTTTTTTACTGGTTATATGTAACCTTTGTGCTACTACCGACTTGGAAAATCTACAGCAGGTACCTTAAGGCAACAACCCACAGTGTTCACAAGATTTTGGAAATCTAATGGGAAGAAAGGTAGTCCAACAACAGTCATCTTACCCAGTATCAAGGTGCTAGAGACACCAATATGTGGGACATTTCTGTTCATATGCCTGGCAACAGACTGCTGACACAATTGCTCGAACTGAAGTTTAGTCATGGCTATAGACTTCCAGGAGGGCAATGGAAAAGCTTCTGGATGCCATCAAAGTTTTTCTGAAGAGGTCAAACATACCTGCTGAGTGATAGGAGATTCTATCTTGTGAACTGACCAATAAAGGGGGGGGCTCATTTCGGGAAGGTGCTTACGTCAAGAGACTTTGTTGAGAATGTACAGAGGTGAAATTGAGGTATCAAAGGGACACACAAACCTCCAAAAACCGTACAACCCAAACCTTCAAGCACTAGCTACCTGACATGGCGGATCATGCGTTGGAATAACCAGTCATGTTAGAACACATTGACCCAAACAGGAAGCATGTCATCCTCGATCCAAAGGGACTGCAGAAGAAAAGCAGGACTGCAACCTCAAACAACAGTATTCTGCTTCAGGACTTTAAAAACAAAGGGTGGAATCTCCTGTGTATTTGCACTCAGAAGCATATGTACATTGGATGTGAAGAAAATACCTTGTCTAAAAGACTGAGAAAACTCATGTACAAATGCTTATTATTTTAGGCCTGCCTATTGTTTCCTATCCTTGAATGGATCTCAGCCCTTTGTAATGGGAATGTCTTCAGGAGCAGTAAATGTGTTTTGGCATTTCCTGCAATTATGCTGGATCACAATGGGATAAGATCCTGTCCAAAATTTTAAGTGCAGTATGAAACAATGTGATTTTGCTTGGTGCTTCATTGTAATTTCGATTTACTTATCCTCACTGAGTCCAGCTCTACATTTTCTTTTAATGCATTTCAATGGCATCAGTGTAAGACATATTAAAAATTGAAAAGTTTTCATAATTCAGGCTCTTAAAACCTGCTGTGCGTAATGTGCATGAGTGATAGTTAGATGGTTTGCAACTTTAATTTTCATGCTTAATGAAGGAATATATGATGTGTATTCACACTTTCCCCAGTCCCTGACTGATTTATCTGTATTTGTTTTATGCTTGGCTATAGTAGGAAATCTGATTAATTTATTGGTGGACCAATTTTTCTAACTTGAAGAGTAAGGTTGCAACTGTTTAAGTTGTGGAGGTAGTGGGGTATATATGCAGTTTTAATACTAAATCTTTACTGGAAACTACAAAGTTATGATTGCTGTCAGGTGAGAATATATATTTTCCTTTGGTTTACATAGATTTCTGTTGATTTCTGTTAATTTTTAAAAAAATAATTATGAGAACTTTAATGGTGATTTTGATAAAGGTGTCACATGAATGGAATTCTACTTGATCAAGGAAATAAAACAGTATGCCATTTAAAAACCTTGAAATCTAAATATAGGAAGGTACAGGGTCAGAGATCTTTTCTTAAAATCTTGCCTAGCTGAGGCTATTCTGTTCTGAACTACCATCGGTTTTTAATCTCATTAAAGTATTGTGAAATTGTACAATTTGTATTCTAACATACGTCATCTCTGACAAACTTAAATATTCTGAGGACAGAAAACATTTTTCTGCAATGCCACTTTGTAAATCTATTAACAAATATAATAGGGATTCTCCAATCTATCTGCATGTAAAGGCTGTGCCACACTGTTCGATGTTTTAGGAACATGCATGTTTGGCTTGAAGTTACATTACAACTTGTTACAAAAATATTAATTTTTCAATATCATTGCAAACTTTAATGCAAATCTAGTTGATCATTACAAATATATTGACTGGGTAAGATGAAGGGGATGGGTTGGGAACAGGTTGATTTGGACCATAAACACATGCTGTCACACCAAATGACCTGTTTTGCAATAGTGAAATCATGAATGGCAGTGAGATTTGTAGAAATCCACTCTTGAGGGGTTACTTGCAAATTGACCATAATTATGTCACTTGAGCTTTCTGGACACCTCCCCTCTGGGAGATGATTACCATACCTTGTCACTGTGCAGATACAAGATATACAACTACAAGACATCTCTCCCACTTTGCCACTTGTTAATCACGCCTCAGCAAGAACCTAATTCTACGAGCAAACTTTTTAACTGAACTGAGCTATCAGGTTTTCTTCCATTCAGAGGTAATTTTCCCAAAATTAAAAATATGACCAAAAGAGTCTGAGAGAGTTCAGAACGTATTTTCCCATCTTAGGTTGTTATATTTTATATTTACAATGGAGGGACCCTCACTCCCATTGTTCTCCTGCACGCACTGACTTTCTGCTGAAATATGGTTGCACTAGCAGTCCTCTGGAATCTTGCTCAAGTTTCCATCCTTTGCAATGTGGACCTAAAGAATAAGTGTTGGCAAGCAATTCAACATGGGAGAATGTCAAAGCAGCTTCTGCTCTCAACTCTTGCCCACACTCAAAACAATTTACAGCTGGCATCACTGGACACAAATTAGGAAAGGTTACTTCGGTTATTTTTTCCTCAGTTTGGTGACATTGAGAGAGATTTTAGGATTGTGTTACCATTCCATCCAAGAACTGCAATTTCAGCACCAATGTAATTGAGGCTAGTCCTTCTTGATTTGCATGGCTGAGTTCAAGACTGAACAGTGCATTTCAGAACTGTGCCATTAGGGAAGCTTAAGTACAGACACCATGAAAAATTGATTACAATTCATGCACAAGACAGGAGACAACTCCAATGGTTCACTGCACTGAATATAACACTACTCCAGTCTTCGAAGTTAAACTACTCCAATAATTTCAAAGGCATTTGTACAAGGAGACCAGATTTATGAAAACAATATAAAACAGCAACATTTCCATAAGTAATTTATAAAAGCGATGATTTTAGAAAAAAAAATATATACACATAAAATACAAAGAGAGGGGATTTGGTAGGATATACTCTAGCAGAAAGTGTACAAATAAAATGCACTTTTGTCTTTGTGTCATCATGCACAATTCAGTGGGGGATGTTAGATGTATTTTCCTGTCCATTTAGCATTATGTGCATTGGAATATAAGCAAAGCAACAGCAATTGCTGAACATTAGCTCAGTGAGCAGTTGGTTGATAAGAAAGGCAGTAATAATCAAGTAATCAAGGCTCAACTTCAAAAGACTTAAAGCTGCGGTATTACCATTCACTGCCAAAAAAAAGCAGTAAGGCATCTCAACGCACCACAAGCCTATCTGGCAGGCAAAGTCACCTAGCGACTGCTATATAAGGTTGGGCTAAGTATTGCAACATGCAGCAACAGAAGGAACTAAAATGTGGTCAGAAGCATGGGCTCAAAGTGAATTGAAAGGCAATCCAAAACTTAAAAAGTCATAGCACAGTGCTCTTCATGGGGTAAGAGTGATTGGCGAGGGGTGTGTGTGGGGTGGGGGGGTTCTTACCACATTTTGAAAGTCTGCCAGTCAGCAGCTGCATACAGTGAGAAGGTGCTGGATTACAGGAGGAGAAAGGTAGATGTTTCTTTACTGCATAAACCAATAATCTAAGACATGAAGATGTAGACAGATAAGTCATACTAGGTCACAACTAAGATTTTAAAAAAATAATGCCCTAAGATATTTCTTTGTGGGCATGGCCCCATTTGAGCTGTATCTGTTGAATGGCAGATCTTCTTAAATTGAAATAATTCATTCTTCCTAAGGATGGTAGTTGCAGGAATGATGAGATTACACAATCCAGTGAGTACTCAAAATTGAGAGAACAAGACGACGTGAAAATGGATTATGAGAAAAGCTGAAAAATGTGGAATAGGTTGACTATGCACAAATATTATGAGGCTATAGGGTCGCCATTACACAAGGATAGAAAAAAACAGCACTGGAAGCTTTAGATTATTCTGATTAAACACTGTTAATGTTACCCAGGACTTCAGAGGGAAATCGTGCTTAAATAGCATGAGGCAGATATATTCAAATGAGCTAAGGGTTGACTATAATTTCCATTTAGAAGCAGTGTTCAACACTATTCTCTCACATGTTCCAAACAGAAATAAAAATTTTGTAAATCTCAAATATGTTTTACAAAAATAGGTGGTAAAAAGCAATATTACTTTGTCATTAATTCATTTTTTGTCACTTTTGCTCTCTTAAGAGCAGAATTTACTATTAGGAAATACATCTTTACATATTTGCATAAAACAAAAACAGAAAGTGCTGTAAAAACATCTGCAAATACAGTGGGAGCATTTTGTTTCCTAATCACTTAAATTGAAAAATTGCTTTGGACCATCAAGGTGCATATAAAACTGGTAGTATGTCCTTGGTTTGCAAGTGCAAGCACCAGATTTCCAGCAAAGGATAATAGGATTTGCTCCAGGATTAATGAGAATTTTCAGATTTGTTGTTTGGAGAGCTTTATGCACGGGTTTAACCTTGCAGAGCAACCAGAAACAATAGCAATGATTTCCACTAAATGTTTGTTGTACTAAAACACTAATCCTGTTTCATCTGCAGAACTTAATGTTTGAAATTTGTTCTCCAAAAAAGGAGAATTTCAAAAGGATATAATTGTGTACACAGTGCTTGCAAAAGATCTTAGTTGTTTTTCATGCCAAGTTGACCCTTTAAGTGGTCACTTTGAAACTCCATAGAAAGCATTTTAAAGCACCAGTCCATTTGGATATAAAATGTATTGTTTCAGCGTGTCAACATGATAAACAGCCATTTCTATTGAATGATGGAAATGGCCATATAATTAAAAAAAAAGCTTTGGCATACATGGTTAAAATAAACCAGACAGTCACAAGTTTGGAAATTGCTGAAAATTCCTGTTGCTGAAATACCTCGTCATTCAATGGATTATATCCACTTTCACTTTCCCCATCAATTTTTTTTATAATTTATGGTTTGGAAATGCCAGTGTACAATCTTTTAAACTTGAAGAAAATTTGCCTCATAATACATTAAATACAAAAGAAAAATCCAGGAGCAAAACCAATTTTGTTTGCTTTTGATTTATTTGAAGTTTACAAAACTTGTCTGTCTATACATGGGGCCCAACTCCATAGGAAGGCCTTTCTCTCCCACTAGGTGCAACTTTGAAACCCACATTATTTAAATGGAGTGATGAGCGAACTGTCTGAAGTGCAATAGCAATGTAATCAAACTCAGTTATGGGGAATTAATTGACATAATAAGACAGTCTAATCATGACAAGTTCTGAAAATGGCATAAAAATTACAAGGCAATTATGTGCTGATTTAACTAAGTAGCAAACTAAACACTAAAGCCAGATTTTTAGATGTCATGGAAAGGTTTTACATAAGGCATGCCATTAGATAAGTATTAAAATCACTTTGGATTCTTATTGTAAACATATAAGACAGCACCTATTTTGCATATTATTCATTTTGAGAGAAAACATAATATTTACCAGACAACTGTTGCACGGAAGGCTGGTCGTGTGTGCTTAACAACTGGACCTGAATTGTTTCAACCACTCTTTTGAACCGACGGCTTGGACCTATTATTTAGAGCAGAGAATTAAAGGTAAAAGCAACGAACTCTGTATTTTGATTATTAGCACAGCATGCACAACGACACAGATGCAGAGGGTCATGAATAGGGCATTGTTTATGTGTTCTTCTTTTCAGCCTGGCCACTTTCTAAATTTCACACACTTACCATAATTATTGGCTGCGTTAATTTCATCTATATTTTGTTAAGATTTCTCTGACCTGGTGTTGAAAATGAGTATCTGATTAGATATAATCATTGGTGCATCTTCTCAATCTCTCCAGAGAAGTTTATTTACTTTTCCAACAAAATAGATAATGAACCAATTAATATTTTTGTTTCAGATTATTTTGCACACTCCTCCACTCTTGATGACTTTAAATCCTGCTGAGAATTTTTTTCCCGCTCAACAGAGTCCAAATCACCTGCAGCACCTTACCCAAGTTGCCATTCTTCATCTGTGCATCTACAGAGTGTGTGTCAACAGATTATTTGGGTATGGAAGACATCGAAGTCAAGACAGACAGAGACAGAGACACAGACAGACAGACACACACACACACAGAGTAGAAGACAGCAGAATCGCAACAGAGATCAGAGCCTCCCTAGGCAACTCTTCATTGTGCCTCTACAGGAATGTAGAGGCCATTCATTGCAGCTGTAATGCTGTACAATGGAAATCAATAATTAGAAACACAATTTTCCTAAAACTAATACATATATCAATAGTAGTTTAGTAAACCATTAGCGATCGGTTTGATTACTCTTTTGAGGTTTCCCCACAACATTAAAAAAAGGATCTCAGTAGCTGAAATGCTTAAAACAAATCATGCCAGCTGCAATCTAATCTAATTTAATTGGCACATCTTGCAGCTCTCACACTGGCCCTGTAGGTCACAACATTTCACAGTAACTGATCTCAGAGTGTGAGAGTACCAGAGGCAGTTCTGTGTACATTTTTTGGCAAATCATAATGGCATAGATTCATAGCTATGGAAAGGTTATTGGTACACTGTGTCTTACCCTTCAAGGGAATTATGGACTTAGATGCAGCAATGATGATTGAAAATAATGAAAACAAATACATATTTGTAATCTGAGTTCGAAACAGCTACAATGAATAATTGTAAACTTAATTCCTTTGAGATAAATATAACTGCATTTAAATGAAGTAATTTCTTCCTTATTTTATGGATTTAACACAAGACCTCCACTGCTGTTTAGCCCCTGAATATGCCACACATTAAATTCATGCAATGGCAGAGTTCCTGTCATCTGCTACATTGAATCTGTTAGTCCTGTTAGTTCTGAGGAAGGGTCACCAGACCCGAAACGTTAACTCTGATTTTTTCCTTCACAGATGCTGCCAGACCTGCTGAGCTTTTCCAGCAACTTCTGTTGTTGTTCCTGATTCACAGCATCTGCAGTTCTTTCGGTTTTTATTTGGTTTGAATCTGTTAATAGTAGCTACAGAAACATCGTGAAATACAACAGTGTGATTTTAATCCTTTGATCCCACTAGAAACCAAACAGATGAGCATTTAAAATCACCCTGGTTCCTTTACTCCCCTTGAGCTATTGTTCAGGATTTAGTGAGTGTTTGGCGGGGCGGGAGGTGAGGGGAGACAAAGACGAGGACTGACCTTCTGATACTTTAGCCTGCCCCATGAAGGAGGTAGCTGTGTGGAAAAGGGAAATGCGTTTTCTGTCTAGCCAACCAAATGAGGATCAGGAATCGAGAAGGGTCCTACAAAAGGTTATTAACCAATTGTGGGAACCTCTTTGAAAAAGCACAGCAGTAGATTCTGTGTATTTACCTGCCCCCAGTGGGCAATCTCTGGCCTACGTGAATTGCCACCATTTTATATTATGAAGTGGTGTTGAATCAGTAATATGTGCAAGAAACTTTGAAGTTTACCTTTTTCAGACATTTACTTTGCTGCAGAAGTTACGCTTCGAAGTGACAACAGGACGCAAGGTATGACAAAACTTCAGCAGATGTCTTATCACTTTTACTAGCCCAGGTTATAAGTACACAGTGCGTTACAACCCTGGCGTACTACTTAATTAAGTAATTATGAAGTATTTAGGAATTTTTCTCTGCATTAAGCTAAAAGTATGATATGATAACACAAATTGCATGATGAGTCATTTAGCACCAAAACTTCCATTTGCAAATGTTGTTGATACGGAGAGACATGGTTGCTGTCTCCTCAAGAGTGAAGCTGGTGCTTCCTTAATAAAAGGCTGTCAGATCCCAGTAATTGTAATCTCCAGACTTCTCCATTGTGAAGTAGATTTGATTATCACAATTCACTACCCTGCTTTCATCAATCAAATCAAGCTATTACGGGGTATGACTAAAACAATATCTCAACGAATACAGTCAAGTTAGATTGCTGTTGGAAATAGTGCTTCAAATGTACATGTTTCTTAAAAAGCCTTTCATACTAGAATCTTCAGTCCGAGTCCATACATGTTGAAGGGAGATTTGAAAGTGATGCAAAAAACAAATTAAATAGAGACTACACAGTGTGGAGCTGGAAGAACACAGCAGGCCAGGCAGCATCACAGGAACAGGAAAGCTGACGTTTTGGGTTGGAAGGGTCCCAACCCGAAATGTTAGCTTTCCTGCCCCCCTGATGCTGCCTGGCCTGCTGTGTTCCTCCAGCTCCACCCTGTGTTATCTCTGACTCCAGCTTCGGCAGTTCTTACTGTCTCGTAAATAGAGGCTATCCTTTATTGAACAGATGTTGGCAAATTGTGGCAGACATGCCAGAGGTTCCTACATCCAAAGTGAGAGCAATGCACAGGCATCAAAATGCACCTTTGCTTTTCACAATATGGATGATTTTGAATGGTTCTAGATTATATGCCCCACTGTTAAAACACCAACTGAAAAACAGCAGAGTACCTGCATTACTGCTATTTAACACTCACTGAAATTGGTCCCAACTTGCACATAAATTGTCTGTCTTTTCAACATAAATTGCAATGTGTCTTTAAATTAAATCCAATTAGGGACAAGTACTTATTTTAAACAAGTCTGTAAGAGACTTGAAACTAATTGTGATGTTAAAATCATTCAGTCTGTTTCCAAAGCCCAACAAAAGCTGTTGGATTTTGGCTGTTTTGATTTTTGCTGGAATTCAAGGTAGACAAACAGGAGGCTGGAAGAATACAGCAAGCCAGGCAGCATCTGGAGGAAAGGAGCAGTCAATGTTTCGGGTATTACCCTTCCTCAGGGCTGTTTTGTTTTTGAATTGCTTTTCCTGACCCACATCAATGTTCATTAATTCCTATGCATTAAGGTTTATTTTGTGGAGCATTTTCATAAGTGACTCACTTAAAACTTGCATTTGGTTGCCTTCTGTTGGCAAACTTTAGCTTTGGAGAAACTCTTCCTATTTACTGAAGTTCGACAGGATACAGCTGTCAATAGTCCATTATTAATTCTCTAGACTCACCTTTCATTAGTAGAAATGGAATAGCTATTAATTACTCTCAAATTATATAAAGATCACAATGTGCCTATAATTGCCTTCACTTCCTATTCGTGGAAAGAGTCACTTTGAATAGAACATGTGTTTTCCTTACTGGAAGCATAGTATATCTGACTAATTGATACTCAGCTTAAAATGATAAAAGCTATGAGGCACGTTCTGCTTTCGTTTACTGAGGTTACCTGTTAGTTTTATGATCGATTGTCTTTTACTCCCAACAGGTTCATATCTGTTGCCTCTCTGCCTTTTTTCATGTTCTGTGGTGACTTTGAGGTTAATGTATGTGTTGATTTAGTTAAGTTTCTTTTGTGTGCTCATTACTTGTGAATATAATAAATTTTGGCAGGTGACATTTTGTTACTCTCAGACAAGAAGCACCTCATTAGAGAGTAAAAGCAAAATACTGCCGATGCTGGAAATCTGAAACAAACACAGAGAATGCCGGAGAAATTAAGCAGGTCTGCAGCATCTGTGGAGACAGAAACATAGCGAATGTTTCGAGTCCAGTATGACGCTTCTGAAAGAGTCCTATCAGAGTTGACACATTAGCTGTTCTCCCTCCACAGAAGCTACCAGACCTGCTGAGTTTGTCAAGCATTCGCTATGCTTACCTCATTAGAGAATTTGCACATCTTCAAACCGTCAGCTCTATTAATACAGAAAGTAGTTAAGTAGAAGGTTGATATGAATTGTTTAACTGGGTACATGTTAAGGGAGAAACAGCAGTGCATGGAACGAGCTGTAAGCCTGAGTAGTTAACAAACTCTGCTGACAAAGAAACGTACCTCAGTTTCTGTCTCACCAACTAGCTTGAATTTAGTGTGCCTTTGGTAGAAAAGATTGGCTGCTTAATGGTGAAGATTGAACTCTGAGTTCTTTTCAGACAGAAAATTACAATTTGAGTTTGTGAGGAATGACTGAAATCAATTGTAATGATTTCCTAATAATGCAGTGAAGCTTAATGTTATCACAATTAGTGAAACAAAGTTGACATATGAACATAGATTACGTTCTTACCAAACAAAAAAAAAAAATCAGGTATAATTCTGGCATTTCTGCTTTGTACTTGAAGTAAGATCAGATGTGAAATATTCTCAGAGCTAGTGGCTCAAGAATTGGACATTGAGGAATGTTTGTATAATCTATTAACATTTATGGGCAAATTTATAGGAAAGGCGATTTTTTTAAATGAATACAAGGCAGGGTTAGATGCTGAAACATTTAGAAGTAGGATATATTTAAATAACCAATCTTTTCAAGACTAAAAAATTTTTTATTGGAGATTCCGAATTTAGTGCTTGCCTTTAAAGTGTTGGCCTGTATTAAGATATTGATCATGAACAGACACTTCACCGAGTTAAATTTCCAGAAAGAAACATATTTGAATAGACATTACAAGCCTGAAAAGATTTCTGAGAAAACCTTCATTCCCAAGTGGGACATTCAGCAGTAACACAAAGAATGCAAGATTCAGTGGTAGCAACCATGTGAGATCATGTAGTTCAAGGCCAAATGCATCAACACTTGAGGAGAGTCATAAGTAAAAGGGATAAGTATAGAGATACCTTTAGCAATTATAATAAATAGGAGGAATGAGGGAACTGTAACAGAACAATGTAGCCAGGGTGCCCAAGATATGGTCACAGGTGTTTTAGATACAATTCAAAATACTATTATGCAAAGGATAGTTCTGAATTGAGTAACAAGGTTTTCAAAATTACCCAAAGCATGGAGGGTTTGGAAGAAGAGAATAGTGATTTTGATCAGGCAGGATAAAGTGTACTAGATAAAAGAAGGATCAGGCCAGTAATGAGTGTTCCAGTCACAGACTCTTTAACTGCACTGTGTTGAACAGTAGATGCACATCCAGAATGTGTGGAGCACATTGGTTAAATTGTTACAGAGACTTTTTAAATAATCAAGACTGAAGTAAGGCTAAGGATGTTTCAAGTTCTACCAGCTTCAGGTATGCAGATGACAACATGCTGAAATCATTAAAAAGAATGGTGAATCCCTGTACAATAGTTAGGGTACGCCACATTTATCAGCATAGATATAGTGTCAAATGGCATTCTTACTGTACAGTAGGCCATCTATGGAACAGGCTCAAAGAAAATAGGGAACACAATAAAACAACTGTTTCTGGGAAGTCAGTGGACCTACAGCTCACACAATTTTGATATTAACCACATTCCTTTCTCTAATCAAAATATTAGCATTGTTGCAAGTATTGTTAGAATCTGGAGATAGGAGTTTAAAGGAAATAAAAGTTAATCTTAAAACTACACTAGTAATTTTCTCATTCATCTTTATCACAGGTTAAAAATTCTATTACAGAATGCAGGAATAAGGATGATGAGTACACTAATTTTACGGAAGAGATCAGCAATAAATGTGATGCATCATGGTCAATACTGAGTCTCCAATTAGCAAGGGACCTTAATGAAGTCATAGCAATGGACTAAGTAACAAAACAATGTTACCCTGTAGTTGCTAGATGTGGCAACTAGATTTAGCTAGACTACAACAAAACATAGTAAAGAGAAAAAGGTAATTGTGGACAAGGTAATGGAAAAATACACAGGTATAGGCCAGGGCACATCAGGTGAATTCCTACCTGGCAATTTTGAGAATTGAGAGATAGATGAGAAAAATGTGAATATCGAGATAATGAACACAGCAGTGAAAAGTCCCTTTAGAAATGGAGTGTGTGAAATAAATCACGTGATAATAGATTGGATGCTTCATACTATCTGAGCTCACAGGCTCAGTTGTAAATTACCACCTGTCATTGCATGGGCAGTCCATGCAAATAACTCACTGTAATCGGTTGGGAGCATAAAGTTCATCTCAATAGGTTTTTGGGAGAAATCCAAACATTTCTTTGATAATGAGTGATCATCCACTGGCTTGGGAAGGGAACACTATTAGATCAACCTTTTTTTCTGAGCAATTTCACACCCTGTATGCAGGGAGCAGGACATGATTAAGGCTGAGGTTGCAGAGAAATTTTGGCAAACTTTGTGGCATTTTACAAGCTCATCAGTAATCAATTTTAATCCAGGGGACATAGTACATTACAAAACAAAGTCAGAATGGAATGGTTAGATAAGGTTATAAGTAGTGACAGAAGAACTGTAATTTTACAGTAACATTTTTAGGGTGATTTCTTGTAGTTATTTGGCACTGATTACAACATTGCAACATCTGAACACATCATAGAAAATGATGAGGCACAGTGCACTTCACACATTTATTGGACAATAATGCGGAAATTGATTGAATATAGGCAATTGGTACAGGAATGCAGTCAAGAATATTTGCCCTAGAGGACAACAACAAAAGGTTGGTATCAAAGTTGACACATTTGCCAGAGGTGGCCAATGAATGGAAGGAATTAACTAGAAAATACAAACATTGACTAAATATGCAAAAGGAGGGACAAGAGACAGAATGGAAAAATGACGCAAACATGTAAAAGGTCAGAAATGTATTACAAGTTCTGAAAGTGGATCTGGAAGTAAACATGGCCCTAGAAAAATACTGTAACGTTTTAAAAGGAATCTTGATAATACAAGGGTAAGATCATGTGAGAAAACAAAGTATGGGAACAAAATCAGAAATTGTTGGAAAAACTCAGCAGGTCTGGCAGCATCTGTGGAGAGAAAGCACAGTTGAATGTTTCGGGTCCAGTGACTCTATTCAGAACAGTTCAGAGCAGTCAGAGAGGCCTGGGTTCAAGTACCATTTGCTCCAGAACTGTGTAATAACATCCCTCCTAATTGATTTTAAAGAAAAAGTAATACGGACTACTTAATAAACTCTATCTGCAATGAAAGTAGTCTTAGTTTCTGTCTCACTGGCTGGTTTGGATCAAGCTCCAGCTCCACAGGATACGCTAATCTCAAAGCTGAAGCATTTACATATACAACATTGTCTCCACACAATAGCAAACTTAACAAAGGAACCTCTCAACAAAAAAAAACTTTTGTGAGTAACACTTCCATACATTTTCTGAAATGGAAACCAGTTCTACAGAAAGAACATAAAAATAATTTCCATGGTTGAGAAAGGTTAACCTGCCAGCGACAGTTGTATACTTTATCAGCAAAACACTGATCCAAACTGTTCCTAAATAGTTCAACTGTTCACAATAGGTCAATGGTAAAATTGTCTTAATTGCAGTCAACTAAGAAGAAGCATTTTCTCTCAATTTGTTAGAAATAACTATTTCCTTTCTCCAGCTACTAAGGTAGTAAAGTAAAATAAATAAGCATTTCAAACTAAGTTGAACTTGATTCAGCTTGTCTTAAGGTACTAAATAACATGAGCAATACAAGAGACAGGGCAGAATACATTCATCTAACACACAAAAGCTGCAAATGGCTGTCCTGTGATATTGAGAGAGCACACTTAATGCACCCATACCTCCATGCTTTTAATTCAGTCGCATGAAGTGATTAGGAAATTCTGCTTCGAGTGAAGAATAAAACTTTAAATTTTTAACATGCATTAAAATTCAGCTCTAATGTTTAAAATATGAAATTCTTTTTACACTGTTGCCTACTACCCAAGTGTTCTTTCAGAGCTCGCTTGGATTGAATATGTATTTCCCCATTTACTTCCATGATTAATAACATAATAAATCACTGATCACCTAAAGAGATACAGAATACAATATTAAACAGAAATGAAACATTATGCATAGGTTGCAGTGATAATCAACATACGTGCAAGATATCGGTCCTTTCCATTTCCCTTCCTACCATTAATAAGACTACAGCCGCCCCTATTGCCTTTGTTGCTGCTGTTACCTGACAGCAGTGTGAAGGTGACTGAATAAATCCCATTCTCCTTCCGTGCCTCATTGCCTTCTGTGTAAGTGATGTCCACCTGGAATTTAACTGGCTTCTGGAACACAGCTGGACCCCCAGTGGATTTGTACTCAGCTCGGAAACTTGTCTGAGACATGACACTGTGACTTAGGCTAGGGATCTGCAATGCAGGAAAATAATATACCATTCATTAATTACGGGGAAATTAGGTTACATTTCTTTAATTAACACACGTGCATGCAATGAAGGTTTAGACGTTATTTCAGACAATGACCAAGTCGTTTTCCTTTTTAAAATGTTTTAAATAAACTGATCCTTTTATTGTAGCAACAGTATGGTAAATAGACATCTTATCCCAGCTTGCCTGCTATTTTTACAGAACTAAAGAAGTTTACAGATCATGAAAGTTTTCTCCTCATTATACTCATGCTAGCTCTTTGATATAGCTATACAAAACCAATCCCACTACCCTACTCCTTTTCCATAGCCTACATCATTCAAAATTCAAATATTTATCCGAGTCTCCATTAGAAGATGCATTTACCTGTGCCTTAACTGTACCCTGTGGAAAAGTATTACATTCCTGCAATCTCTGTAAATTAAGTTCACACAATTATTCTCCTTATTGTTTTTGATTATTGTAAAGTTATGACTCCTTGACACAAACTCCCCAAATCCTGGTCCCTCTATCATCATCCTAGCAAACACACATGTATACATATTCTATGGCTTAAATGAACAGAGTATAAGGTGTGCTTGAAAACTCTATACATTGCAATCTGAGCAATGTTTTTAATAATACATTTTAACTCAACTATCTGTTAGCGAGTCTGCTAACCAGCTTGAGAGTCAGGCTGCTACATCTCTTTTACCAAGCCTTTTTAAAATTATATACACAACTAATGCATGTTACTCAAGAATCCAGGCATTTTTCTTCAAAACACACTAGATTTGTTAAATGTAATTGGTCACGTAAACAAATCAAAATACTGCAGATGTTGGAAATCTGAAGCAGAAAACTGAAAATGCTGGAAGTACTGCACTGGTGGCTTTTATGTAGCGAGAAACAGAATTACTACTTTGGATCAATGACCATTTATGTGGTACATTTATTTTAACAGATTAAAATTTTCATTGTGCAGGGCCAAAGGGATTGGCAAGAGGACAAGTAAGGAAACTAAAGATGTGTCTAGAGGAGGTGTGAATGGCTGGATGATAAACAGTTGCTGTCTGAAAGTAGAAGAAAGAAATAAGAGAAAATCCAAATCCAGGAAAAGGAACAGAGCAAATGGAAGCAGATGTTATTGTCTAAAATGATTGAAACCAATGCTGCACTCAGTAGGCTGTTAAGAACTGAGTTCAAAGATGAGGCACTATTCCTTGTGTTCGTATTGAGTTTCATTAGAACACTGCAAGAAGCCAAGGATAGCAAGATCAGTGTAGAAACAGGTAGAGAATTAAAGTGACAAGTGACTGGAAGCTCAGGGTCATGCTTGTAGAGCTAACGGGAGTATTCCAAAAAGTGGTCACTCAGTCTGCGCTTTATCTACCCAATGTACAGGAAGACATAAGTAAATGCAGCATCAATTGCTATTTCACTTGGAAAGAATATTTGGGTTCTTGGATGGAAAAAGGGAAAATAACAGTTGTTTCATCTCCTGGGTTTGCATGGAGGAGCGGCATGGGAAGGGGAAGAATTTAGGGAGTGACTGAGGAGTGGACCAAGACATTGCTAAGAAATCAAGCCTCTAGATTCCTAAAAGGGGAGGGGTGTGGAAAATGTGTTCGATGGTGGCATCGCTCTGGAAGTAGTAGAAATGTCAGAGGAGGATCCAATACTTATAGGGGCTGGTGGATTGAGAGATCAGAACAAGGGAAAACTCACTGTGGTTCTGGGAGGGAGGGGTAGGGATCAGAACTGATGAGAGGGAATGAGATGCACATGGTTCAGGGCCCTATTATATACAATGTATGGAATCCCCAACTAAGGAAAACAGGGACATATCAGGGACAGGGATAAAGAAACTGGGAGAATTGAAGAGTTCTTTAAGGAAGCAGGATGTAAAAAGGTAGCTATGAAAGTCAGTGGGTTTACATTGAATATTGCTTGATAACCTATCTCCAGAAATGTAGACAGAAATGTCATGGAAAAGAAGGTAAGTGAAGAGTCAGAGATGGACCATGTGAAGTTGAGAGGAGAATGGAAATTTAAGTCAAACTTGATAAACCTGCCCAGCTCAGTGAAAGAGCCGGAAATAGACTAAAACATCCATGAATGTAATGGCAAAAGAGATGAGGTCACAGCCTGAATAGGACTGGAACAGGGAATCATTTACATTTCTTGCAAAAGGCAAGCTCTTCTAAGATTCATGTTTGCACTCAATGTAACACATTTTATTAAAAGGAAATGGGTGGAGTTAAAGAAATTCTTCAATGTAACAACAAATTCAACCAGAGGAGAAGGTTGCTGGTTGGGAGGATATCCAATGAAAAAGTAGGAAGCCTTCAGACAGTCCACAGTGAAAGAAATTTAGAACAAGGAAATTGTAAACTGTTAAAGTCACTAAGGGTACTGGAAGAGTCATAAATGTATTTGAAAGGAACAAGAGAAGTGGACAAAGAATAGAATCGAAATCAGTGGAAATGGGTTCAGTAGGGTAGGAACAGGTGGAAATAAGGGCTCAACTACGTAAGACTTATTTATGGATTTTGGGAAGATGGTAAAAGTGGGATGTTCAAGGTATGGAAATGATGAGGTTGGAAGTCCTAGAGGGATAATCTCTGGATGAAAAAACAATGAACTAAAATGTTAGCTCTGTTTCTCTGTCCACAGATAAAGTTTGCCGTGTTGAATATAATCAGCATTTTCTGTTCTTATTGACCATTTAAGCATATCGGGCCTTGCTACAATTAGTTTAGTCATAAGTGTTCAATAACTTCATCTGAAACAATGGAATTGAAAATTTTGCCTGAATTAGATATCAGCATATTTAAGGAAAGACTCTATTCTTTTTAACTTTGCCCTAATGCTTCTTATAATTGTAGGTTGGATACATTCTGAACAGATTATTGCCTGATTCCATTCTCAATTGGATTAACCACTAAAATTCTTATAATTTTTTGGATGTAAAAAGAAGAAAACATTTCTCATTGCCTTGTTTGCTCGCTGTTGCTAAAGTTCCTGTTATAACGCAACAGGGGTGAAATTAATTTCTGGCAGTACAGAAAAACAAGCATGAGCAAATTGGCAGCCACTTGTGACCATATCGAATGTATTTTTCCAGTTTAAAAGAATGTGCGCATAGAATGCCTACTCCCTATTGCCCATTTTGCATGGCTGTCCTAGACTAGTTTATCCTTTACAGCTTGGATATTTGATTTAGAAAATCGGGGTTCATCTTCAGAGAGACAGATCCTCTGCATTAAAAAACCAGGCCACTGCTATGGATGAAGGTGTCATTTACACTGTTCTCATGGCAGGACTTCCTGGTTTGCATCACACAGGCTGCCTGGAGCGCATGTGGTGATTGCCATCTCTCTAATGCCTGCTCTTCATAAGCTTGACTGGCATCCTCTGTGCACCAGGATGAAGATTTGTGAAAAAAAAACTATTTTTTAGAAATCACCTCAAAACCAGAACAACCAATTGTCTGATCTAAGCTTTCATATGTTAAAAAGCCCTCCTCTGCAACCATAGCAAAGCTGGAAGCAGATACAGTTACAACACTTAAAAGACATTTTGTTCTGAGGAAGGGTCACTGGACCCGAAACGTTAACTCTGGTTTTCCAGTCACAAATGCTGCCAGACCTGCTGAGCTTTTCCAGCAACTTTGTTTTTGTTCCTGATTTACAGCATCTGCAGTTCTTTCAGTTTTTATTTAAAAGACATTTGTTTGGTTCATGAATAGGAAAGATTTGGAAGTTGGGCCAAGCACAGGAGGGTGGGACTTGTTTAGCTTGGGAACAGGATCGGCACGGACCAGTAAGACTGAAGGGTCTGTTTATATGACTGAAAATACTCCTGCCCAGAAGCAGGTAAATACACTGCATGTTGCTGCTCACAAACAGCAGAAAATGAAAACAATGTTGATATAATGCAGCTGAATATACCACAAGCACACTTTTTAACCCATGTTCATCTGTGCAAATTGCATCAACAAATTAGCAGAAGACAGGAGATGTTAAGTACAGACTGTAAAATGACTTGGGGTTTTCATTTTTTATTCAGATTATTGTTTACATGAGGTCAACTGCATAATGAATGATTAGTTTTAGTATTTTTTTCTTTGAAAATATAGCAATGTCCAGAGTCACCAGCTGCCATAATTCATTCAAATATCTCTTTCTATCAGGTCAGTTTTCAGTTCACACTCCTTCATTGCTCTCTGCTTTGTCAAGAACAATGATTGGAGCTAACTGGAACATTATACATTGTTGACTGCAGTGGACTGCAAGTAGAATGGGTTATGTCTGATATTGATGTATGCTTGCTGTTTCAGTCCTCAGAGAAAGATAGATCGCAGGATTAACCTGTGAAATGACAGATCATTTTAAAAGCATGCAATCTTTTGTATTTGAAAATCTTCAAAGTGCTTGCTTTCAAACAGAAGGACAACTCCAAGTCAAGCTTGTAATTTGCAATGCAATCAATGACCAGCAGCAAGGCATTAATTTTTGGTAACCTGAAATGAACTCGAAAAAGATCTCTCAAATTTGTGACAGTAAAGGCAGAGGGGTAGATTTTGTTTTCATGGTGTCTGATTGGTGGAGCAAAGAGACTACTGTGGCCATAAGAACGGTAAGTACAGAGCAGCTCGTCATTCCCAACATTTTTGGGACACTTAGATCATATTTTCACTGGGGAGAAGGCTCCAAAATCCACTCCATGATTTTTTCCTGATGACCTAACTGCAGTTATGAAGCACATTTTTAGGCTGGAGAAATATGCAACAAACTACTTAACAGAAGTTTCATTTTCTTAAGTACCATGAGGCATTTCCCAAGCTGAAATAATCAAACTGAGCCTCAGTGTCAGTTATTTCTGAACTTTATCGTTCAGTTAAATGAAGGTTTTCTTTTTGTAGATGTTTACAGTGAAAAAGCTTCTTCTGTATTTTTCTTTATTTCTCTGTTGTAACCGTCTCTACTCCACTGTTCACCCTTGCAAAAGTTTTGATGAACTTCTAATGAATGTCTAGGAAAAGTGGAGTGAACGGAGCTATAAGGATATATGGAGTAGTTCAGGGAAACACTTCTTCTTGAAGACAACAGACGGCTCTCTTCTCTGCCGATGTCCAAAGTGGAAAACTCACATGAGTGGAGGGATGGAGCTGATGGCGATTGCAGTCCCTTCCTGCAGTGATGACACTCACAGCACACTACACCATCACTGTGAGGACTCAAATAGACTATCTTGCTAATTTATAATTTGGCTGATGGATATATAATCATTGGAAACAGGTTACTTTCATACTGAGACATTAAATATTGCTGATGATATTAGAATCCTCAGTTGAATTATGCAGCTCATTTATTTGTCTGTCCATTTTGATCAAACTTGTAAAAGGGGAAATACCCTAAGGCGTAATATTAACAGAATCTAGATGATAAACTTAAGCCAGCTGTCATGTGAATTTACATCAATCTTCTCAGTTTGATGCTTTATTGGAATGTTAATATTCCAGTCTGTGATTCCAATCTGAAATTATGATGACATTTGCTGCCCATGAAGGAGCATCATCAGGAACGCACATTGAACTTTACCAGTACAACCACCTTCAGGTTTAAAACAATAACAGAAAACGATGGAAACACAGAAAAACTTGGTCAACAAGAAAGACACGAAAAACACGAAAAACGCGCTTGAGTCAAACTAACTAAATGCTGATGCAGTGCTCCAATCAACACATTAACTTACTTACTTTTATTTTAATATATTGATAGTGTACATTTTTCAGCAGTGTTTTACTTGCATTTCAGGCATGGAAAATATGAGCTACAGTTTTTTTTTGTAGAAAAATATATAACTTTTTAAAAAATTTCAGCAAAGATTTAACAGCTGTATGGGTGCAGCTATTACAACAGCTCCTCCAGTAATTTCAATCAGATGAAATGAAGTATCACACTTCTGAGTGACAACTTGTCACATGGTGATTACATCCCTGCCATTGTTCCTAGCAGTGAAAGAGATTAATACTAAGTCACAAGAAGGACAGTGTGACGTTATAAGTTAGAATGTGATCTATCGCCTGGTGAAGTGGGACTCAAATTCAGTCTAGGCTGATGGGACGATGTTCTGCTTGCTGAAAGGATCTCGCATGAAATGAATCTATTCATCTTCTACAACAAAAGCAGAAAATGCTGGAAAAGCTCAGCAGGTCTGGCAACATCTGTGGAGAAAAGTCAGAGTTAACACATTGGGTCCAGAAACGTTATTTTGGTTTCTATTCATCTTCTATCCAGTTCCTCATGTTTGACTTAAACCTGGACACTGCCTTCAACGAAGGAGGCGTTATGTTTCCTAATAAACTTTGTAAAGTGGAGATGCAGATCTTAAAGGGATACTGTATCCTTTCTGCGTTCTCTCATTTTTATATTTGGTCAAGGGTTATAGGCATCTCCTGCCCCACCTTAGTTGCTTGACAGGATAGGTGGTGAGCTAGCCATCTTCTTCAACCACTGTAATCTGTGTAATGTAGGTTTTTCCAGTGGTGCTAAGTAATGAAATGAAATCTGCTCCGTGGAAGATTAAATGGACAGTTGCGTGGACTAACTTTGGTTTCAAAGATTGCAATTTGAGAGACAGTCCCTGACTGAAAGTAAAACCAGAAGTCAGTTTCTGGGAAAAAGAAGGTTATAACTGTAGGTCCGTGGCTACGACAGCAGACTTCAGGGAAATTGACTTTGGCACCTCATAATGCTGAAGAAACAGAGAATGTGTTTTCTTTTTGGATACAAGTAAAGAATTCTCAGAGATCAGATTTCAGCAAGATGTCAAGAGGCAGACTGTAGCGGGTTGTGTGTGTGTGGGATACCTGGAAATAATGAGCCATGGATATTGAATTTAGTATCAGGAATAGTGAAATAAGGTTACGATCGCTACTTCAGTGGTTTTGGGAAAACCATGCCATCATGAATGCAAACAGCTGAGCTAAGGAGTATGGCCTTCTGGTGATAATCTGAGTTCCAAGGACAGGGTTGACTACAAATGCTCCCAGAGGCAACTAGATGGTCAAATTCTGCGTGAAGGAAAACTGCTAAATTGCATCTGAAGAAAACAAGGCAGTAAAAGGAACAAAAACAGAAAATGCTGGAAAAGCTCAGCATGCCTGGCAACATCTATGGAGAGAAATCAGAGTAAACATTTCGGGTTGAGTGACCCTTCCTCAAATGCTGTCAGTCTGCAATTTTTTTTCTGTTTTTGTTTCTGATTTACAGCATTCACAGTTCTTTCGGTTTTTATTTAGTAAAAGGACATGATGGCTGAATGTTCTTTCTCCATATAGGCTAAAGAGATTGCCAATATATCAGTGAGATATATATTCGTTGTCTTGACTATATAAAGTGCAATTTATAGTTCATGGTGACAATGGTGTGCCTGTTAAATGACTTTGGCTTGACAAAGTAAAGATTATAAAAGTAAAATCTTGTTTGTCAGTTTTTCCATTGGGATCTTGGCAAAGTTCAATTGTTTCAGGTGACTGGTCTGCATGGGGAATAATAACAATGGAGAGGCGATGGCCTAGTGATATTATCACTACTAGACGATTGGCCTAGAAATTCAACTAATGTTCTAGGGACCCAGGCTTGAATCCTGCTATGGCAGATTATAATTCAATTAAAAAATCTGGAATTAAGAATCTAGTGATAACCATAAAACCATTGTTGATTGCTGGAAAAACCCATATGGTTCACTAATGTCCTTCAGGGAAGGAAATCTGCCATCCTCACCTGGTCTGACCTACATGTGACACCAGACCCACAGCAATGTGGTTGACTCTCAACTGCCCTCTGAAATGGCCTAGAAAGCCACTCAGTTATATCATCACACACCTACAGCATGTGGACTGCAACAATTCAAGAAGGCAGCTAACTACCACTTCTTAAGGGGAACTAGGGACGGGCAATAAATACTGGCTAGCCAGTGATGCCATGTCCCATGAGTGAATAAAATAAATAACAAAGTTAGGATTCATTTAGGATCAGAACCAAACTTTGCAATGTAAAACAGATTCACTGGAATCTTCCAGAATTTAAACATTTCTTCTTTGTTTGTAGCAAATAAATATCAGTACCTATAGGGGGCAGGCCATTTTGGAGCGTGGTCTTGCTTTTTGGTGCTTTGAGACAAAAGGTCATTTGAAGACTATGGAAGAGTAAATGGTGAAGGAGGAGATAATGGTAACAGGTAACGTTGGCTCATCATCTGAAGCTTAAGGGGGAAAGACCCCTGGTGATCAAATAGAACTAACCAGATTTCAATGAAAAGGGAAAATTTCACTTTTAAAAAAATACAATTTCAATTCAAAAGAGAAAAAGAGAAGATAGAAAAGCAACTCGGCAACTGCACTAATAAGCTTTCTGGTCACCCATTAATTCAAGCTTTC